GCGGTTCGTGTCCCGGACCCGGTGGCTTAAAAAACTCACGCCGGGCACGTGTGCGTGCATGCCCAAGATCCCAAGAGGAGAATGGAGGAGAAGGGATTGCGGCGTGACCATCCCCCCTGGGGGGTGATTTCTCGCTTTCTGTCTCTATGTCTCTCTCTGTCTGTCTGGCGAGCGCACGCGCCCTACAGTGAAAATCTCTCCAAAAAAAAAAAAAGTGTGTGAGAGGAGAAAGACAAACCGAAGTACATGAAAGGAGGTCTGTCCTAAAGCTTTAAAAAAAAAAAAAAAAAAGGTTGTAAGTCCTGATAAAAAAACTGACACCTGGAGAAAGTGAGCAGGAAATCAGAAAACGGTAAAACAAATGGATGACGAAACTGAGTTTATGGAGAGGTTGCTGCTACTAGTAAGAACCAGAACTAAGCAGTGTGTGATGAAATTTAGGGCGTGCATAAGTCCCCTGATAGTCTTGATAGGATGCACGTTTTGATTTGGTAAGTCCAGATGGCAGAGTCTGAGTGTCTACATTTCTGTCATGCTCCCAAATGACATTGATGCTATTGGTCTAGATTTTAAAAGATGGCATTTCTCAACCCGAGCAGTAAAATATAGCCCCTTGAGGAGTTTAGAAAATCCTTATGCTGGACCATTCTAGACCAGTGAATCATCGTCATGGGGTAGATCTAGTTTCTCTGGCTTCAATTGAGAATTGATATATTTTAAATGTTCTCCAGATTATTCTGTTGTGAAGCTAGGATCACACAGCTCTGGCCTCTTACAACTTGTGACCTTAGAGTTCCAGCTCATGCAGAAGGGCAGGCCAAAGAACTGAAGGGCCAAGGCCCTGCAAGTGTTATCTTTGTGGTTATTAATTTCACCATGAGTTATGCTCAATAAAGTGACTGTAAGTCCAGATGTTTTTCAATGACTACAAAATACTGTAGAAATTAGATGATGCTATATGATGTATGAGATTCGAAGCAAAGATGTTTGGAGAGAATGTTCTAGAGAGATTGTATAGCAAAGACGATACTCATCTGAAGGTGTGTGGGATGTGGAAAATCAAATACTCCCCACTTGAGTGAGTTCAAGAAGTGCAAGGTTGTAGTTAGAGACAAGATAAAGGTTATAATATAAAAAGAGATTGAAAATATGGAAACTATGAGTGCTGTGTTTCTGGGAGGTGAGGCAGGGTAGCACCTGAGGTTAGAGTACAGGAGGTGAGACGTGAGCTGCAGTCCTGACCTGAGCCTCTCCTGGCCCTGGATGCTGGATTCTAAGCAGAGGGCATAGCACAGTGACCAGTAAGGAACGCAAGGAATTATGGGGTCTTGCCAGAAGCTAGAGGAGTCATTGGCTCCCCTCTTCATTCCTACAGCCCTTTTCTGGCTGTGGGACACTTAGTCTCTCCAGCAAAAGCATACAAACCGACCAAAATAGAAAACAGATCAAAGAAGGGCTTCTGTGATGAAAGTGGGAGCTAGGGAGAGGGCAGTGCCCTTCCACAGGGCCTCTTTTGAGGAGCTTCCACAGCACTGCAGGCTCCTCAAAACTCAGGTCATAACTACTCCAGTTATGGTGAGAGAAACCCAAGGCAAGTGCAGATTTATGTGTAAAAGAGTAAAAGGTCCTTGGGTCAGCCAGGTGGAGTGGTGGTAAGCTGCCGGAACTCAGATCCAGCAGATAGCGTAATGGTTACGTTGCTGGACTTCCACATAGTCAGGAGCAAGCCACAAGCCAAGTTTTCAAAGCAAGTGGCTTGATAAAGACGTACTCCCAGGAGAGCTCTGTAACATGGGTGGAGCGGGCTGGAAAAAAAAGCAGAGGCTAGTAATAGAGTGAACGCAGGAGAAGTCTCCAGGATTGAGCTTCAGCTTTGTCTTTGACTCAATAGAGAGTTGCATCCCTCATTCAAACCTGATTGGACAGAAGCCATATTTCCATACCCTTTAGCCAATGGTTAACAGGGAAGTTATGGAGGAAGTTGTGAACTTATAGGTACTTCCAGGCAAAGAGAATGCTGTCTGAGGACTGTCCTTCAAAGAAGAGTAGCAGGAATAGGCCCTTGAAAGAAAAGCACACTGTGGGCCAGACAGAAACACAACAGGGCCCAAATAGGACTGTCCAGGGTTCATGCCCCAGGTCTCCCTGAACACACTAGTGGGTTGGCTGAGGCTGGGGTGGATTGCTTCATGAAGATCCTGTTGGAGGTGCCTGGCTCTCTCTATTTCCCTCTTTCTCTCACTCTGAAGAAATAGTTTTTGGTTTTTGTTACTTTAATTTGTTTTTCAGAGAGATACTTTTACTATAGGATGTGTGCACTTACTGGAAAGAGAGAGAGAGATAGACAGAAAGTCAGAAATCATGCCACCACCACCCCCCAGGGAAGATGGCCACACCACAATCTCTTCTCCTCTATCATCCTCTCAGAATTTGGAGCATGCACACATACGTGCCCAGCATGAGTTTTAAACTTCAGGGTCCAGGACTAGAACCAAAGCTGACTACATGGGAGACCAGTGGCATAACCATTATGCCGTCTGCTGGTTGCTTTAAGTTTGAAAAAGCATGCTGAATGCAAAGAAAGGGATCTAAATCCAACTGAGGGGAACCCCATAACACCTTCTATGAGTAAAAAACTTTCTTTAGGGTGGTATGGCTGACCTAAGTAAAGATCATATGCAAAAAAATTAATGTCAATTTTCAGTTATCATGAAGGAGCTTTCTAATAGTGTACATTTTGCTACCTTTTCCCATGCACTTCCAGGGATGGCATGTTACCCCCATAGAGCCAAATTTTGAGAAAACCCCGGTCAAGTTACTATGGGTATGCGTATCAGAGAGACAGGCATGGCCCTGACTGAATGTGGGGTCTGTATTTGAAACAAAATGCATATTTTAAAAACCCACTGTGTTGCATGAATTCCAGTCTCTTTCTTACTACCATTCGTGCAAATATCAAGGATGTTTAGCTCTTCTGAAATCTACATCATTACAAATAGTTGCTCTAATCTGCATGCACATATATATTTCTATATTCAGAATTGTTGTTGGTTTTTGTTTTTCTCTTTCAATGTTGACCTCTCTTCTAAGGATTAGAGGAGCATTAGTTGAGAGACCCTGCACTAAATTTAGAGCTGTGCAATGTCAAACCTACTGACAGATGTAGAGATTAATTTCTAGACCTCTTGTGGTGCTAGAGAAGCTCCTTAAGATTTTGAAAATGGCAACAATATTGACTCCCTACCACTAAAGGTTACTTGTGTTCACATCCGCTCTAATGGGAAGGAAAGTTTAAGTGTGGTAAATATCAACGTTGGCATATATTGTGTCGTCAGAAAAGTCATGATGCAATTTTGCATAAAAAGACAGAAAAATACCTCATGACTTTTCCAATGACTATATATGTATATATAGTATAGTACTATACTATATATATATATATACACACATATATATAGTACTATATATACACACACATGCACACACACTATATATGTACATACACATGCATGCATACACACACATATATACCCAATATATCAATATATTTTATATATGTATATGCATGTATGTATATGTATATATATATGTTTGTATGTGTGTATGTATATATATACATACACACACACACAATATCTATATATGAATAACAGTAATTGCCAGGATAATAAATAACTTATCTTCCAGAAGGGTGGTTTATACAGATATATTTTCTTCCTTTTATTCAGCAAATAAAACATGGCTTCTGCTAAACTGGCTTTTTTGCATAGAGAAAACAATAGCTCAGTAGTTTTGAACGGTCACCTCTTAGGTCAGGTTCTCCCTAAGCAAAGCCCAAGCCAAAGATTTGAATGTCAGTGATATGTAAAAGGGGAGATTTGAGTTTGACTTATAAACTATTCCAATTGTTTTAAGGGTTGGTAGAAAAACTTTTATCTTTCCAAATATTTTGGTTTGGATGCATCTCCAAATGTGTGTTCTGCTACGTTTTAAAGTCAATGCATTTGCAGGGAAATTTAATCCATATGTTGCAGCAAGGCTACACGTAAATCATCCAAATGTTATTCTATTAGAGCTACATGATGTCGAAAATGCCTTTTGAGCTTTTTTTTATGGTCCTTATATTCTTTTCTGAAAAGCAGCAGGTAAGTTGCCAAGAGTAAACAAATCAAATAGAAAAGGTTTGAGCTCAGTCTGAAACGCTTAGCCTATTATTTTTGATTGGGTTCTGAACTTGGCAGTGCACATTCCCAGTTCCTGCCCGCAGGGCAAAGTGAAGACAATTTGAACACTGTATTTCCCAACCGGTTCATTGACATTTGAGAATAACATAGTACAGACAGAATCAGCATGTTTGGCAGGTGAGTGATACTTCACATGACCTTGGGAAGTTGCTTCCCCCAGTCTGCAGAAGTTCATCGCATGGAACAATGTGTGCATGTCACAAAACACAAGTTAAGACTGACAGCCACCAGGGGATCCAAATTTATCAGGTTTTGTCTGTTTTTTTTTTGTTTTTTTTTTTTTTTTTTTTTTTTTTGTTTTT